CACATGACACATACCTAGTTGATAGTTCTTATGCGAAGTTCAGAGTTTCAGATGTTCCGTAATATTATTTGAGTTATGACGTATAGGTATACATTCACAATTGTATAACAACAAAATATGTACCTCGGAATTTATAGGTAGTACTCAAAAATACCCAACTCAACGAGATACTATGCTCTCCGTAGTGTAATTTTATTTTTTGGTTCAACTTGGAAGTGGGAGTTTTTTTCTTCCTGACGCTTTTGAAACTTTACCTATACTAAAAATTATCATTTACACCAACTAGATTCACTTTCCCACCAGAAAAGTTACTGATGTTGGAAATCGAAACTTCATTTTGTGTTTCGACAAATTTTTTCCTACCTACTCAAACCACTACTTTTATCGTGTAAAAAACACACACATTGTAAAACTAAAGTCAATATATTCAGCACTCCTTCACTCAGAATTTATAAGACGTTCACAAATTAAAATTACACCAACAAATATAAAAAAATTCAAAAATATAAATTCTAGAGTAATTTAAGACAAATTTGATATTGGAAAATATAGGGATGCCAACACTTTTTATTCGGCTCTGTTCTCCTGTATAATATAGACAATTTCCCCACAAATATCCATATGGGGCATTGGGTAATAATATCTACTAATGGTCAATAGGACAGAATTTAAAAGAACAATATAATAAGTAGGACGTAGGTAGGTATCCTATACCTATAACAATAACTAATAACTTATAATTATTTAATAACTATTCTTTTATGTAGTTGAAGTAAAGCCCCACCCTTTTTCAATTCCTAGATCCACGCCCGTACACAGTCCATTGTTTTATTCCATCTACGTTCGACATAATAATAGTTAAACAGGTACCTACCTAATATTAAATATCAAATAGAACTATGAGCATCACTACGTATTTGCAATATGTACCTATGGTAAATTTATTTTTCGTGTGAATCTGATCGAGGGATTGGGGATTAATGCCTCCCCCGACGTAATTACGGTTGTTAATAATAATCTACCTTGGTTGTTAATTATGTGGTTATTCAAAATTGCATACGAATCGTCATGGAGTAAAATTAATCAATGATTTCTCTCGGCCACAAAATATTATCTACACCGTGCTCCGAGCCTCCCACGATTCATGGACTAAAAAGAAAACAACGTACGCTGTACAGTGATAAAGTCAAATTTGATATACTTTTTTAACACGATTACAAGAAGAACAATACATTTGTTTGTTAAATTGAATGAATTGAATCCTATTTTTTTTTATAAGTTTTTATATTGTTTTGTTTTAAAAGAAACCATGGACACTTATGAGAGCATATTGTTGGTAAAAAACGAAGTGTTTGTTTTCAAAATACCGCCGAGAACCACCAACAGAGGATACAGGTGAATATAGTTTATTTCGGATTAGTTTGGTATTTTGCAATGGTCAATACTAGCACTGGATGATTGCGATTTGCAATTAAAAACATTATACAAAATCAACGATTCACATGTCTGTGCTGTACTATGCGGTTGTCTGTATGCTATGTTTAATATTTTTTTAGGGCTGCCGATTGGAATCTCGCTGAACCAACTTGGACAGGCCGCTTGAGGATTGTCAGTGTGGGTGATGCATGCACTCTGAAACTCGAAGACCGTAACAACGGTGAATTATTTGCCAAATGTCCCATTGAACAGTACCCAGGTGTGGCACTTGAATCTGTATCTGATTCGTCTAGATACTTTGTCGTGCGCATCCAAGATGAAAATGGTATGTTTTTTATGACCTCATTCCAATATTTTATAAAATTACTTTATATTGTCATTCAATTAAATCAGGTCGTGCTGCATTTATTGGTCTTGGATTTGGAGATCGTTCTGATAGTTTTGATTTAAATGTTGCCTTACAAGATCATTTTAAAAGAATTAAAGTCTGTGAAGAAATTGCTAAAGAAAAGAATGAACCCAAACAAGAATTAGATCTGAAATTCAAAGAAGGCGAAACAATTAAAATCAATATGAAAATTACAGTAAGCTTAAATTTTTGATGGTATGTAATTATTTATAATTAAATTTAATTTCTTTGTACGTTAAGAAAAAAGATGGCAGTGAAGGAGTTGCTAATAAGCAGGCGGCTAAACCTCGGCCAACAATTTCGGGCGTTGGAGGACTGTTGCCACCACCTCCAGGCTCATCCAGTGTAAAAACCATTCCGGCACCGCCTTCACAAACGTCATCTCCATCGCATCAATCTACAAATCCAAATAATTGGGGTGAATTTACTTCTGCAAATAATACTTCTCAGCCAGGCGGAAATTCTAATCCTAATTGGGTGCAATTTTAAAACCAACATATTATGCCAGGTAACCAAATATTGGAGTTTATTATTATTATTATTATTATTATTATTATACTAAACATTTTTGTTATATTATAATTAATTTATTATTATATTCGTTCTAAATATTCAAAAATATTGTTACAATGAGTTATTTTTATTAGATTCTTTGACGAAACATATTATTTAGCTAATTTAAATCCTATTATGTTTTTACTAAAATAAATTATCAAGTTTAATGTAAAAATAGTGATTGTGTAATTATTAGTCCATCTACACTAGTGTAAATGACTATATAAATGTTACTTTCTAGAATTTATAGAAGTATTCAAAAATTTAAAAAAAATGTTTGTTAATTTCATTTTTTAATAAGATTATTGTATTTTTATTATTATTAAATATTAAATGATGTGTGAATCATTCATTTGTTATTAAATTAATTATTGATATTTGTTTAATATTAATGTATTCAGTATTATGATATATAGAAATGCTATAATAGTATTATTTATAACAAAAAACAGTATTTACATTTTTAATAATTACAGTACTTATTTGTTAATTAAATATATAAACATTTAATTTATCAGTAATATATAATAATTGCTATTCATGGTCAAACATAAATTTTATTACAGTTCTCGTAAGAACTATAAAATTAGAAATTATTGATTTCATAAATCTTCTTATTTTGCAATACAAATTGTAACATATTATAATCATTATTCATAAAAATTATTTTTTATCCTCTTATTGTATCAATTTAAGTCATAAAAAATAATTTTTTCAAAGTTTACATACTGTTACTTCCAATTTTTAAGTATATAATTCTTACTTACATTTCTGAACTCACTTTATATGGAAATGGTTAAAAATAATTAGTATAAAAATGATTAATGAAGTTAATGTTTGTACTTTGTTATAGAAATGGTATTTGACAATATTGACTATAATGGTAGCATACTTTCAATTCTTATTCTTACAAGTTTAAATTAAAGTGCTGTAATAGTGTTTATAATAATTGTAATAAATTGTCAAATTGCCTGTACAAATATTCTTGAATTTTATATGTATACAATAAAAAAAAGACTTTAATAAGTTAAGAATATTTATCATAAACATACATACCTAATACATGTTTTGAAGTAAAAAAACCATTTTTAATTAAATTACTTTATTGTTAAAGATAATTTTTTTTATGATCCATAAAGGTTATGCTTTTATTTATTTATTTTAGAATAATTTAATTCAAAGTGTTAAGTTTAGTTCTGTTAAAGTATTAAATATGTTTGAGATGTACAAATATTGGTAAAATCTGGTTATATATGAAAGCACGATTGATAATTTTATTTTTGTCACTCGTGTTTTTATACACACTTATTTAGATTAACTTTTACATATTAATTTTTAAGTCTACTATATATGATTCTAATGATCCATCTATCTCATTATGTTTAGTGTGAATTTAATTACTCAAAATTAATAAATTGTTTAATTAGGCAAACTAAAATACATATTAAAATGTAAGGGATAGTCAAAATACTATTATTTTTCTGTAATGATGAATTATTTAATATATAAGCTTATGTTTGAATATTATTATTATAAATATTATTGGGCTAATTGTTATTAACGATACATCATTTATTAATTATTATAAACCTATGATTAAAAACAAACGCAGTAACCAAAATGTTGAATGCGCACATTTCACTAATTATATATTATGTTTTAATTATCAATGGATACTATAAAAAAATATTAGGTTTTTGGGCCTTATTGTTTGTATAAATTAAACATTTTTAATTCATTCCATTTGTAAATGTTTTTTTTTCATTTTAATACATATATTATATAATATATTTTAATATTTAGAACTGTTGTCACCAACTACTGTAGCTCTCTCTGACTCTCTAACACAATTACACAAACAATATGATAATATATGACTTACCTTCTATTATATGATCAGCGTTAACGAGGAAACTGTTAGATAATATGCTCATTTTTCCTTTGAATTATATTTGATATTTTATGTGTTGAAATATCTACACCTAAACGATTGTCTGCTATGATAGCTTACAAACGTTCATTTATTTGTTTTGTAATTTTTTTCTTTTTTACCTTTAACATCAGTTAAAATATCGATTGTTTCGATTACCTACTGTTCGTGTACAGTCCTGAACGGCGTGCCTTTTTAATTATTATATACGTCTTATGAGCAATAACGATATGCCACAAAATGACGTCAATTTTCGCACCGGAGAGCTGCAGCTTGTTTCGGTGAATAGTGTTGTGCACAGTGAATTTTTATTGTAACGTTTTGTTTTACGTTTAGACCAATATGTGATGTTGTATAGGTTAAGTATGTATAAATATAATATTATATACCAGTTTTAAAATATGATTGTAATAACTAAATAACTAATAACGAATAATAAAACGACTATTGAAATGATAACGATTCGATCGATTGTCTTATTATTTGAGATATAAAAACATAATCATCATTATCGTCGCGATACAATATTTACAATATGTCTTACGAACTAAAGTCTTGGAGAACAGGTACAGTAACGGCATACAATTATTAATAATTATTACATTACGATTGTGAATAACGTATGTCAAACGGGGGCGCGAAAACAGGTGCGATGTGGTCGGCGGTTGTCTACCAAGGCCTCCACATCAACTTTGCGGGGGTGGCGTCTCGGCGTAACTCCGTCGCGGTACGATCCTCCGTCGCTGCACCGCTATCGTCTTCGTCGGATGAGCAAGATGACGAAGACGAGCAAACGTTATTATTGCTCATGACGGTGACTTTGGTGTTCGGCTGTTGGTCCGAAGGAGAAGATGAAGACGACAATCGGTTCGCCGGCGCGTTGTTCAGCCTCCTAGCGCACGACTCCAAGTGTTCGATCATCCTTTGACCGGACATTAGTCGCAGCTCGTCCGTCCACTGTTCGGCCAACAGCTCTTGGACCTGTCCTATGCACCGCCTGTATCCGGCCGCGTATACTTCCGGTCCGGGCGGTGGCGGTGACGGAGCCGAGGCCGTCGACTTCCGCTTCAGGTATCTGACCGTCATCTCCAGGATATCGGCTTTTTCCAGTTTGTTCACTCTGGAGAGGTCTTGTCCGGCCTGAAATCAACCAAAAACGATGATAGATAAATAAACGGTTCTCCTTAACATTGACAATAGGCTATAGGTATAGTCGATGATCGATGGTTATATACCTAATGCCTATATTATTATTATGTTTAGCTATTAAAACGTTTCCCTTCTCCTGCTGCCACAATATTATAAATGTACCAACATTTTTTTTAACTCCGCGCTCGTGCCCAAATCTATATTTAGGTACATCACATTACTAGGTACACATGGTGTCGAGGTATATCTTGATACCTATAAACATGGCCGACGGCCGTGTACCAGTTGCCCTCAAAAGTTAAGTTTATACGAATCCCCCCCCCCAAAAAAAAATAAAATAAAAATACCTACAAAAAATGTACCAGTTGCATTCAACCAAATAAAGGTACATACAACCTACGTGTTGTATTTAAATTAAAATATCGGCCAATCTCAAATCGAACCTTATAATTTATTATATTTCGACTACTATATAGGTACAACAGGGATAGTATATAGAAATTAACTGTAGACAAGTCTGTCCAAAAAACTATAAATAATAAGTAATTGGTCGATATTACAATGTTAGGTGTTTTTTGAAATTCATTTTTTATCTAATAATATTACCTACACGATATTATAATATTTACAATAATCTAACTATATAACATATTTTTACTAGCAGAATTGATGAAATTCGATTATTCGATCTATTATAGCTAAATTATTTCATTCAAATAATAATATGTACAAGTGAACGTACATGGTTTAACAATAAACTTTTTAAAAATAGATATGTTAAACACGACCATGACCAATCATACTAATTATCACAAATCATGCATGTTTTATATAAGCCATTAAAGTGAAATTGTTATTGTTGGTTGATTATTGTCCCTTTAGAATTATAAATGAGCAAAATGTAGCAAAAAATAATTGGTATTTACGCCTCTTCTATTATTAAATTATATCGAATATCGATCATAAGTTGTTATTGAATATTATGAGATATGATAAATATAAAATTAAAACATAAGTATCACTATATAGGTGCTAAGGTTCAGTTGTAGTCACAGAAAGTGCTAATATTTTAATAACTCGTTAAATGTATGAAATACGTTTTACCGTTATCGTTATGTACAAACTTACATGCGATATTATATATAGTAATTAAATAATGTACATGAGGGGTGTTTAAAAACAATAAAATAATAACTTGTAATAAAAAAATAAATACACTCTTGAACACGTATAGTATAAACACCCCCTCAATGTTAAGGGGACTTTGGTCGATTCTCCGCACACTTCTATACCCCCTCCTCCCAACTGAAAAATCCTTATCTACATAATGTTATGCCTAGTCTTGTAGATTATCCAATGTGGAGGGTGTGAGTTCAGAAAGGGTTCGACGTACTAAAAGATAAAATAAAACTTCGAGTAACATACCTAATCTAGCGGGGTCCGTTATGTTGATTTTTTACGAGCGTGCCCTTTACAACCATATCGGGATTTTTTTAATATGATTTTCTCGTACTAATTCAGGTAAACTATGTAGTAATGTTGTATTAAAAATACTCGCGTAATTTACCAATGTGTACATCGCGACACGTAAAATATAATATGTGGTGCACAATAGTATGTGTATGTGATACACTAATACGTTTGGTAGGATTATATAGTATACGTCCTATGCTCATATAATCCGGCTATTTCCGATTCCCGCTTTTATATAAACGCTTGTAAGAGTATAAATAATTTGACGCATAAGAATGCGGATTTTTTACGATATTTTAATGTGGATTTAGACGAATAAAAGTCGACCGTGACAACAATAATATTGAATTATTTAATGCTATCCGCGTGTATTTGTATAATAAAAACCAACTTATAGCTTTAACGTGTCGTGATGTGGGTATACCAGGTCCTATTACACAATATTATATTTAGGTACTTACGAATTTCTCGGCGTCCACAACGATTCGTTTAAGTTCGTCCAGGCTCTGATTTATTCTTGCCCGTCGCTTTTTCTCCATCAACGGCTTTCGGATCTATATATAGGAGTGGAGCATTATTAAAAAAAAGTTCACGTTGAGTATTTAATAATAATATAGCCTATGGTGATGTACAGCGTGGTGCGGCTAATTTTAAACCGTACCTATAGGCTATAATAAGTCATCGCAGCGCTGCAGGTCGGACGGCGAGATACGAAAATAATAATAAAACAAAAAACAATTGTTCATACCTTCCGGGGCTCGATGTGTAGTTTTCCGGTTTTCTTGGAGTTTGTCGGCGGTGGAGATGTCGAAGAGATCTCTTCCATGTTTTCTTCGTCGTCGGTACCGGAAATCGTCGTATAGCACATATCGTCTCAAACGGACTAAAAAGTGAAAAAAAATTATTAATTAATACGAAACTGTTTTGGAAAAATATTAATATTATGTTAATACGTCCGGTGACATATGCACAGTGCGGGTACTCCAGAACACTTTACACGGACACATATATAGGCAAAGTACCCATAATATGATTTTCGAGAAAAATAAATAATAACTCACCCGAGAATAAAAGAAACAAAAAAACAATCGATCCACGGACACGAACGATGAATAAGTAGGTATTTATAAAAAAAAAAAATAAGTTTATCTAATAATTAGATGTGCTATATTAATACGATAATAATATTATGTGACGGTATACAGCGGAAAAGTGCGGAAGACGTCCGCAAAAAACAATCGTAATTTATTATTAAATATATTATTATACGAGTGGGTGTCGAGTAATATAATTAAAATAGTGGCGCGGACCGTGATCGACGAGGGTGTATTTAGCACTGGACGTCCGCGTGCTGCGACAGTGGCGACCGACCCTTAAGAACGACTGTGCACTACAGACGCCCGTGACATCGAATAAAACGGACGTCTTATAATATTATTATTATTATTATTACTCGTTTAGGTACGTACGCGTGTTTTTTCCCTCTTCTTTCCGCCGTAAGACGTCGGCCGGTGGTGGTGGTGGTAAAGAGAACATCGTTGCTGGTTTGGGCGTGAGTACATACATATATATATATATAGGTACACGGTCGGCGCCGCCACTGGGGGTTGTGTGGTATATTAGTGCTTGTGCGTATAATATATGTGTCGGCGGGGGAGGAGAAAGAGACAGAGACAGAGTGAGAGGGACCAAGACCGAACGGACACCACCTCAGCTACTATATAATATATTTATATATATCATTGTATGATGTGTATAATATTGTGTTGGCGTAATAGTGTTATATATTTTATTAGTTTATTGACTATATACCATATTATTGTATATAATTTTATTACGTTTATTGTTATCCGTCGTACGAGTACCGCGTGCGGTACACGCGCGTCATAAAATGTTCAGTCGTTCGTCATGATGAGCGTTCTTTTTATTTTATTTTTCGACTAATTCTGCAGTGGTCCCATTATTAGTTTGTTTGTTCGTTTTACAACTTGACCGCAGTTTTTGACGGCGTACTGCTAACCATGTACCTACCACAAAACATAGCACGTACAATAGTATAGTTAATACATTTATACATTCAAAATAACCAAATGGCGTAGCGTTCTTAAATCGTTTTCTTTAATGTAGACGCCTAGAAAAACAATGCGTTATAGGAGCAGGCAACGCGATGCCCCACATTTTTTCTGCGAGGGAGGGGGAAATCAAAAGTTGTTATAATTTGTATTTAATTATTTAAAAAAAAATATTAATGAAAAAGTTTAATTATTAATATCTAGATTACTTAGGTATAAGTTTTAAGTAATATTAAACATATGACTATAATATTTATACTATTATATATTTTATAAAATCATTACGATAAATTGATTTCTTATTCATAGGTAATTAGGGCTCGAATTTGAATGCAAAGTGAATTTTTTTGGTGTAGCTCTATAGGAGTTAGGACTCCGCATTCCAAGTACTTAATTCGTTTCATATATACGATGTACCTAACGATTCTAGGATGTCCCCCCCCCAGACAAAAAATTAAAAGTTAAAATATTAAACAATAAGGCATACTATAAACATACTACACCAATGAAGTAGAGGTAGGTAGCTTAAAACACGAGTACCATCAATAACATATTAACATACAATGCAAATCAATAAATTTACAAATGATTAAATTAATGCCCTAATTAATATATAAATATACAATTCAATAATACTTTCACATAAATTTGGTTTATTAATCATTGATAAATGATGATAGTCGATAGATGCCCATATATTTCAGGTAAAACAAAAGAACCTTTTTAGTTTTTTCCAACCAATTACCTATTATGTGTAAAAAAATATATACGTACTTATTGATTCCGGGGAGAAATGTTTCAGTACTGATGGAAAACGTCCAGTACAGGTAAAATCGACGGTGGGGAAGGCACGGAGGAGAGACGTTCAAATACCGTACCTAACAAATACTTGGAAGGTGAAACTTTTATTTTGCAAATTTTAGTTTTTCAGCTGGTCAATTCATTAATTTTTAGTACATATTAGCTATTAACACTGAAATTAAATAAATTAAATCAAGAAATATTATTTTCATAATATTGGCATTAATAGATTTTGGGTAAGTACCTACCTAATTTTCATTATACGTACCAAATGTCAATATTGTTCTATTTATGAATGCGATAACGTATTCATCTATCTACCGCGATTATTGGATGTGGTATCTAAATATATATTATACAGGTTAACTCAAACAAATTACAGCTAATTAAGGTGTGGTCCAACAGTTCTGGTATTGAAGACCGAGCCCGCTTTCTGTTTGAATGTGCCATTAATCATTTATCAGTTGGAACTTGAAGTTATATCTTGATTCTTCATAGCGTTTATTTCGAATATAAATGGCACGTGCCTAAGTCCGGTATTTTGTTTTTGTGTTATTGTTAGTTTAGCGAAGATAAAGAAGTGCAAAAAATGTTGAATGTTAGACCATCGTTTTCTTCTCACTATTGCGTGCGCTTATCAAAAAAATGTGAGTAGTTTTATGATAGTTTTAATTTTTAAGAAATAAGAGCATTTATATTCGGACTTAAGTTGTAACTTTTTAAGTAATTATACTATTATATTAATATATTATATTTATATGAACTCTTGTTCCCACAATAATCTTTAGTTTTTGATGTCAATCATGTTATCACTCTAATACCTATATTATTTATTTATATTTATGTCCCTCGGCTTACAGAGAGAAAATTATAAGTTACATAAATTGTATACTAAATCTAAGTCAGGTACACTAAATGTTGGTTTGAACATTAGCGGCTGTGATGAATTGGATAATGTTGGCTATGGATTGAGGGTGATTGCTTAGTATTAATATTTAATACCTATATTGTTAAATGTATTATTATAAAATGTATTATTATTTATATTGAAAATTGTGTAAAATTAAATAAAATTATTAATATTGGTCGCTATTTATTGTCTTTAGATTTACCATTGGTATAATTATATAATATTACAATTTACAGGTCAATTTTAAAATAATTTAAAATATTTAATATATCTTAATATTTATGTTATTATTGTTATTCGATGTAAACATGTGAAAATATTATTATTTTAAGACACGCGTTTCGTAAAAGAAAAACCTACAAGGATTGTTTTATTCGGGGTCTCGGGGAGTAATAAAAGAATAAATAATGTACAACCCGTACAGGAAATTACATTATACAATAAGCATATTATGATATGTCTTGAAAAATAAAAAAAAATGGTAATAGGTAAATAATATATTACCTAGATAATATTGTGTTATATATTATTACAATTATTATTTTTTACCGGTCGTCGGAGTTGCGGAGGTAGGTATATACCTAATACCTGCCTACTATAATATGTACTATTGCGGCAATCGTAGATAGTTTTTCAATTCCAGGCACATCATTAACAAAATATAACAACTAACAAGTATCTGCGTATATATATATATATATATTATATGCGTATGATATACCCCCTTGCACGAGCGGACTCATTAAAATATATTACACGGTGTGCGCGTTTCCATAGATATAGGTACCTATATACGTATACCTGCAATTGTCTCTGCACACCATTAACTCCGAATCGAATGCTCAGTGTACGTGATTATTATCCGAAATCGATATATAGAATAGTGTAATATAATACCTAATAATACCTACGTAGGTATACCGACGTATTGCTCGGTGTATAGGTACACGTAATATCAAGTAGGTTTAAATGTAAAAAGGTTTAAATATAATGGGTATATATACAGAGGATACATACGAGAAAAACAAACATAAATTAGTTTTAACAAGGCATGAGATGCACGCGCAGAGACTGGGTCCGTCATCCGGTTGCACGCTGGGCCATCGTCTCGCTCCGCTTACTTCGGCACTGTTGTCTCACTTTTTTTGGGGTTTTTTTTTTTGTTTTATTATTATTGAGACTGCCTTTTCAAATCAAATAGACACATCTGAGCCGAGTTCTTTTTACACATTTTTCGTCGATACGCATAGGTACAATAAACGGATATTAGGTACTGATTTATTTACTATGGTAAATTAATACAGCAGCTGCAATATAGTAATTGACTGCATAATATTCTAATATCATTGATTATAAATAGTAAATACCATTTAATATGTTACGACTTATGAACGATTAGTTTTCACATAATTTTTAAAAACAACAATATCAACGTATTTTATCTTTTACTTGTAATTTATGTTGATTTTTTAAGTTGTTAATTTATTTTCGTAGTTTTAAAATAAATTGATCATTTAATAATGTTTTTTAAACAATCCAATATAAGCTACACCTAAAAAGTATTAAATATTTTAAACAGATTTTACTTTTAGAGTCTTATGAATTGAATTTCCATTGGTATATATTCATTTATGATGAACATGAACCTATGAATATTTAATTGAAAGACAATTGTTTAAAAATATCGCCTTATATCAGTTAAATCATACCTAAATTCTGTTCACAATGAACATTGGGATTGTGGAAGACTTGAATGCCCGGCCTGGAGTAAGATCTGTATCTATGTAAGATTATATAAAAAATATAAATGTGGCTACAGTATTCTTATGATTTATAATTTTACCTTTTTTAACTCATTGCGTGCCGTTTAAGTCTTTTATAGTTTTATACAGTATAGGTACCTTACAGTCCACAGGGCACACACATTTTATTTTATATATATATATATATATTATATACATATATTATATACAATATACATATATTATATACATATATATAATACAATTGAAATGAACCAATCATTTCTAACATAACTATACAGATAGTGCAATATAATTAGTTGTATATGGTATTGTGTTTTAA